TAACCCTGAAGCAAGTATGAATATCTCCCATACCATTTAGTTCCAGGTGACAGTTCAAATCCTATTTATTTCCAGACATTTGCTGGGTAAAGTAATTCCAGGACTAAGCCATTAGGATTTCAAACTGGTTTTAAAGAAATATATATCTTTTAACTTTTTTAACTGCAGATATTTTAATTTAATCCTTTTTGTGCATTATTGTGGACTCTGGGGGAAAAAGCAGTGTTTAAAGAATATAAAGAATCATATATGACACACATACAGAGACATATATATTCTTTTTTATAAACTACTCTAAGCAAACATATATGGACCCCAAATATCAGAATGAAGACTCTCTAGTAAAAAAAAAAATTTAAAAATCCATGATATTATGCAGCTAACTTGAGTTCAGACACCTCTGATTTTAGGTAGAAGTGAAAAACCATATAGCCTAAGGCCCCTCCAAATCAAAACAGATACATATCAATTTTGTCTTCCCAAATTAGAGCATATTATGGTTGAACTAGTTTTTTAAACAGAGGTAAATCCCATAGTTTGAGGCTTGATAAAGTAGTGAACAGTCTCATTTCCAAGAGCTGAAGTAAATGCACATGATCAAGAGAAGAGGGTTTTTCCCAAATACTCCCTAACTTGCCCTCTTCCAAGATAGAAGGCCCACAGGAGTGAAGTCATTCTGGAATCTCCTGCTATTCTAGATGTCCTTTCATGAAATGAGAAGAAATAAATCATTTAACAAAACATGTAAAAACCAAACAAGCTGCCTACAGTCATGCAAAACAGAGTTAATAACAAACAACTCTGACTCAAGAGTTTAATATCCAACCTCTCTCTCTCTCTCTGTCTCTCTCGGTTTCATAAATGTTTTCTCAGCCATAGCTGTAGGGGAATTACAGACAGTCTCCCCTCTTATAATAAGTGGCAAGATGATCCCTAGGCAAGTTGCTTAAAAGATGGATCGTAGGAAACTCCTAACTATGCAGTGGCAAGATTTAACTACTTGATCCAGAGACACAGTACATTCACTGTTCACACACATCTATAAGTGAACTTAATATAAGAATAATAACAAAACACCAGCAAAAGTAGTCAGCCATGTTATAGTTTACAGAGTTCAAAATATTGTAGGCCATCATTCTCCAACCTAGTTACCTCCAGATTGGTTTGGGCAGCAACTGGCCATGCTGCTAATTTTTGAAGTTGAAATTCTATTACATTTCCAAGATGTTAAATTGAAAATACTATTTTAGGATTAGATCACAAATGGAATTCATAACTGAAAAGGTCCAGTAGAGGGCTGCACAATTTTTATGCGAAGAGCAGCATTATGAGAACTTGGCAGTGCACTGATGAAAACAAATTTAAAAAAAAACAATCATGAAGTAACTTTATATCTCAGTCACCAGCTTATTTAGGCAGGTTTAAGTAAATCATTCTCTTTTACAATGCAATTGTATGTTGCGTATTGATAAATAAGGACTATTGAGATGAATGGGGCTTGGTCCTAAAAATGAGATGTGAGGAGGATTGTGGTGTTCATCTTGGTAGCTCAACCTCCAATATAGGAAGCTGACTTAAGATTGCTTTAAGATTTATTAGAATAATATTGTATTCAGCAGAAAGGAAGGGACTCTGAATTTAGATTTTAGTAGTTGGGGCATATACAGTAAATCTTTCAGAAATGGAAAATTAGACAGAAAATAATCCATTAATTACCCTCCATTGACCAATAATTAAACATTCTTAACAATTCTTAGTTTTTACTAGGAAGTATCTAAACTTCATCTTTAATGGTATTTCATAATGTGATGTATGGCTCATACGACCAAAAGGTTGCTCATCTCAACTGTAAATAACGGTTTTTATCTAAGTATGCGAAAAGCAAGGCCCCATCTGGATTTTTTAAAAGAAGTTCAGAGGATTACTAAGACAACTGCTGATAAAGTAGTAAAGACGCGACATTTCAACTGTGTAATGACCAGTTCTCTGATTTTTAATTTCTGAGCAATTTGTTTAAATAAGACTGTGACAACGAAGGCTTCAGAATCCATTCAGAAAATGCGGCTTAAGTGCACATAGAGAAAATAATAGTTATTAGTTTGGCCAATATTATATCGAGCCAACAATGGTTGAATGCAAAGAAACAAGCCTAAATATGTGTATGTGTGAAAGAAGTTTTGGAAGAAAACAACTAGATACCATCACTATACATTTGAAAGGTAGAAATCCATACCAAATTTAGATATATAATTTTACCGTATTGGAGATAAACTAATAACTTCTCAATGTTGTAAACTATCCTTTGAAGGCAACCATTGCTTATCTAATTATTGTCTAATAATGGAAAAGTAACTGATTCTGAAGTATGTTTTTGTTAAAACAGGCTGGATTGGATTCAAACCCCTCTTTGGCACAAACAGAATCCACCCTGTTTGTCTGTGGATGTTTGTGTTGCCAATTACTTGCCTGCGCTAGATTCACAACCCTCTTGTGAAGTTTCAGTGTTGTGAAGTTACGGGGAATATCAGCAACTTCAGCTGTAGGCAGAAGTTTGGATCCAAGCCATAGCTGTCACATTCTTTAAAAAGAAAGAAGGAAAAGTAATAAAAATGTAAAATTTAAGGCACTGAGAAATATTGCTAGCACAAACATCATTTGTTGGTAGTCTCCATTTATCTCTCAATGTTTTTCATTTTGGTATATATTACATTGGTATCAGTGGCATAAAGCCACAATTATCCTGTCGAAACATGTTGAAACAGCACATTCAGCATCTTCACAGATACTTTACATAGTTGTTAGCATTCTATAGGCTACAATATCAGATTGATTCAGGTAAGCAAAACACTCTAGTTTTTATAACCAGATATAGCAAGACTGCCCGACAGTCCTGACAGAGGAAGGCAATCACTCTTATTCTTTCCTCTCTTGAGGAGCAAGTTCACCTTAGAATCAATCTGAAGTACCACTGTTTATATTAAATATCACTGAACCACCACATGCAAATTTCCTTATTGCTGAAAAATATTTGGGAAGCTTCAAAGATGGTGCATTATTATTTATTAATGGATACACTTTTCATTAAAATATGCAGATGGGATTATTTTATAAATTCTTTAATAAATCTGATCTTCAGTGAATTCTTGCAAAACAAAACTGAAGTGAAATCCAAATGAAGTAAGATAAAGACAAAAAAATACCAAAATATCCACAATTTGCCTCCCATATTTTCTTCCAGCTTCATGCTGAAAATTAATCACCATAAATATTCACATGGATATTTCAGTAAAATTAAATATTACTTTTATTGTCTAAAATTAAGAGTTCTATTGACTGTTCAATTACATTAAATTGATGCTTAAATTTATAAAAGGAAGAGAGTCAGGTAACCATTATTATTAGATATAACTGTCATCTTCTCTAGACTATAGCAATTATTATTTCCAATTACAACAAAATAAGCTACATAACTTAGCGTTCCCTGCTATGTTTAACTCACATCTCCACAACCTGTGGTCCACTAACAATTTAAGATGACCTTTTGGAAGACTCACTAGATCACTTGAGATTTTTATCTGAGCAAGTGAAAAAAAAAAAGAGCAAAAATAAAAAAGTGTATAGAAGCATGGAGAAACAGGTTTGTTAAAGAACCCAAACCAAAATAAATAGTTCTTCATTTACTGGAATGTAAATGAATAGATTATATATTTCCTGGTAGGTCATAAACTGTGCAGACCTGATTTCTTACATCAGTGTATCAACCACAGATTAAGCCATACATCCTCCAAGCAACTAAATAAACGTGTTAATCTGAATACAGCAACACAATATATATCCTGCCAATGTCATATTCTATTTTGTTGTTAAAGACAGTATTTTATGGCTTTGCAAATGCATGCTACAAAATCTTATGGTACCTTAAGAACTAATACATTTATTTTGGCATTGGGTTTCTATAGACCAGTTCTCTCCAATTCACCAAACCCAGTCTGCCCACATATACAACATGTTAGTGTCCTTGGTGATTAATTTTACTTTAAAGCAAGATGGTCCATCCTAGCAAAGCCGGTTTTCTGGCTCTCACAAACAACATGTAACTTGAATACAACTGTGGAGTCCTTGGTGCACTTTGATATAGGGTGAGATACACCAAGGACTCCACAGTTTAACTCTGAGCTACATGTATTCTCTTCTATATGAACTTCAGTACAAAAAAGCAAATCATAGCAATAAAAAGTATTAGAGTTAAAAAGTACACTCTAGCGGCTTGTAATTTGACTACAGTGGCAGCATAAACTGTTTTGTGCTACATTGAATTAAATTATTACAAATAAAATCTACAGCTGTTGCTTTGAGTTCAGGAGGAATCACAAAATAGGAGGTCCAAGGAGATTCCTATAAACTCGGTGACTCCAGCCTATCTGTTCAACTGGTGGAAGTGATTAATTAAGCAACCTCCTGAGTACCCATCTTTCTTGCCAGCAGACTAACAGCCACGGATCTTGTACTCCCTTCCACATTCTTATTAGCCTAATCTTACAAATGTGAACACTCTACTATCGGTGAACAGATAAATGCACTAGGGCTGTGGTTGCAAAGTGGCTTGTAATGCTAATAGATGTGACCCAAAGAACAGTGCAGTATAGCAACACTCCTACATTACTACAGAACTCTTTTAGTATACTAGATTGTTAGTGTCCATTTGTGCAATTTATATTTCATTCGTGTACAGAATATAGAATTCACTCACAGACTTAAAAATAGCATAACAACTCATTTTTGCTGTACACATTCTCCTTGTTTGCATTAGCCTTCTGCAATCTGTCACCCTTCCAGGATTCCCAACCAGCATTGGGAAGGAATGCTGGAATCTGCACCCCAACCCATCTAGAGGGCACCAGGACGGGGAATGCTGGTCTAAATGGTTCATTACCAGTAGTTTGGAAAGGCCGGAACTGCAACTGTATATAATGCATTCTTAATAAAGCAAAAGCACAATGTGGCTTTAAATTAATGTATTTTCAGATACATTTGGCTTGAGATTCAGTAAGGCACAATAAATGTATACAGTGCACTGATGACCATATGTTCAGAAATGAACTTTTTACATATTTAGCTTGGCAAAATATACACACAAATGCTACTGAAAGGAAATACTTGTGAAGCATTATACATAGCAATATCACCTTCTTTTGCCCTGATTTACAGATAGATACCACTAGGGTTTCTTTGTTTTTTACATTTTTCTACTGCTAGGATTTATTCTCTGGAAGTATGTATGCAACTAATGAACGTGAACTACTTTTGATAACAGTGCTTTGCCTCTAGTAGCATTTTACTGCATATATTAAAACTATTTAGAAAATTAAAATTGCCTGATATAAGATAATCTGTGGTATAGCGATTATTTCCCAATTAAAGGCAAAATATTATTTGTAAAAAATTACAGTGAAGGAAGTAACCCTTTTCTTGAACTAGTCAAATTGGAAAGCATTAATTTAACCCTAACTGCACATGCAGCTAAGGATTTACATCTGCACATGTCTTAAGGTACAACGCCCTTGCTCTTTCCCTACTTGTTTCTATATGCAAAACTAGAAAAATACATTTTCCCCCTCCTGAGAAAGATGTACTACAACTATAAAAGTGAGAGGTGTCCAGCACCAGTGGTTTAAATGTGCCAAGAGTGGATAAAAACATGCGCCCACCTGCGTCATTTCTTATAGCAGGACTATGCAATGTTTGACCTCTAAATGAAATACAGCTCACCAGCTATCCATGTACGGCGAGGGGATCAAAAACTGAAAACAGGCACTGTATGAGTCTGGGAGACTGTGTTCTGTTTTAAAACATCACAACTTATTTCCCCTCCCCATTAAAGGCTGAGCTTCTGGAAAAGGAGGTTTGGGTTTAAGGATTCCCAGTCAGGAAGCTTCAGCAGGTGAGGAAGATCAGCTAACCATTTTGATTCTGGTGAAAGCTTGTGCTGATGCAAAAACAGAAGTTAATTGCACAGCTACATGAATACATTTCTCTGCCTCTGCATAACAAAGTACACTATATAAAGGATATAGTACAAATCAGCCTGTGAATGATTTAACAACACCTTGTTCAGGAACCTTACAGTGCAATGTCTTTCTGCTAAGGCATTATCCCTGAGCAAATCTGTCCATTGCAGAACTTGGCTTCAGATTTTGTGGGGCAAGCTTCTTTTTGCTAAACCCACAAAATTAGGCACTTTAAGAAATGCATTTCTTAAAAAAATTCTGAACAATATTATACTTAAATACAAGGAACAAGAATTATTTTAAAAAATCTATTTTTGTTCTGTGTAACAATTAACATTCCAGTGCAAAAACAGTTTTAATTAATTGGAACGTTGGTTTGCGCTTCACAAGTGTTACATTTTGTTAACGCCTCCCCACTTCCCCTCCCCACATGGCTTAAGATCATAGTGCAGTCTCAAAAATAATTAGTCCTTGAGAGTCAGATATTGATGAGCTGGTGCCTGCTTGATCACTTGGAGTAATTTCAGGATAATTCTTCTTAAAATAAACCTAAGGAGGAAAATATTGTATGTTAGCTTTATGGTAGCTTATTTGAAAGGCTGCCACTTAAGGATATATATCAAAGGTAAAAATACACATGTTAAATCCTTTTATTTCTTTTTTAAAAAAATTAGTAAAACTGCCTTTAGCTCTCCTAATAATTTTCAGCAAAGCAGACATATTTCAACATATAACCGCCATATATCCCACTGAAAGTGCTAATAATTCTGATCAACAGATAACTATCGTTTGACATTAAACTGATAAATAAAATCCTTTTACTGGCTCAGAAATGGAGATAAGTTAAAAACGGGTGACAAAGCTGCTTCGAAATCTAGTGTCTGCGCAAGGGCTTTTCATTTTCACACATAAAAATAAGCACAATGGATTTGGATGTGAATATCAAGGTTGTAATCCCTGCATTTTACAAACTATGATTGACAACCATTGAAAGTTCAGGATAGATGTATGAAATATCCCAGCATTTAATTTGCAATGTGGCAGAGTCACAGAGCTTTATAGAAATGTGATCTGGGGATAGGGTGCCACAGTAATGAAAGGCAAAGGCAAAGCAGGAACAATGCCTCTCCCAAGCAACTTCTCTAAAATGTAAGATGATACCAAATAATAGAATAGTTCTTTGCTCAGCTTTTGAGTTCTTGAATTCTACCAATTTCGAGCTGAACTGCCAGAGATACAGGTTTCCCGATAAATGTATAATCAGAACATAAAGGAAATGAAATCCTGTCAAGTTTCACTGTTCCACAATCATCAGTTTTTAGTAGTTGTATCATATCTCTGCTCCCTGACAGATGCGTGTAACAAAATGAAATAATGTCAAGACTTGTGTGCTCTTATCGGAAAATGTGTTTGGGTGAAAAAGGACTTCAAAATGTATTTTTCCCAGAAAGGAGAATGTCAAAAGTTTTATTTGAGCCTTTAAAACACACAAAATGCAGTATCTTCTGCGTGGCCGACATATGTCATGAGTAAGGCCTAATATTTATGCTTTCTGGAAAACAGTGCAGGAAGCCCATTCTCTGGTAATTTATATCACTGGGTGATGCTCCTGGCAAAGTTATAAATAAATTGTTCTTCCCCTATAAAGAGATGGGCCACAGCCTAATAAAACATTTACATATATTTGATAGAGACATGTATGATATGCAGCTTCACTTTTCTTAGAAACCGCCTGCCCACATCTTTAAGATAAAGGCTGCATTTAAAGTCAAACTAGCTTGCCAACTGGGTTTTTTGGGGGGCCAGGATCTTATGCTTAATAGAATTATGGGGGAGCCAGAAACTCTTTTCTTATAACTAGATCTCTATAGTGTAGTAACATTTATTGCTGAATTGCCATCTCCAATACAGTTCTTTTAGGCACAGGCCCTATTCCAAAACAACTGGTAAGTTCAACTGCAAAATCCTCTGGTGAGGTGTTTGAATCCAGAATCTATTTTAGTGTTCTGAGATCTTGAGAATTCATATGTCCCTCAGAACAATTAAAACTAGGTTTCTATATTTCTCCTATATTTGATTTATGAACAAGAGGTGCCTAACTCTTTAAATGGAAACAAGAACAGTGTAAACTAATGATGACAGTAATTACATCAATGCTTCTTGAAGAGATAGTTACTGTACTTGCATTTTAAACCTTTGCTTTACAGAACTATTTGGAATCTAAGTTTGGTGGGAGTGGGAAATCTATTTCAAATTTCCAGCACTTTGAACCTAAAATCTCTTATTCTACCCAGATGGTTTTCTATTTCAAATATTACTAGTAATTTCACAGAGTCTCTAGAAGAGTTATTACAGCTTATTTTATTTCTATTCCATCTTCCTCTTGGAAGAGCCCAGTTATTCCATTTTTAAGTTATACTCAAATTGCTCTCTGTTCATTGGAACTTCATCTGGAATGGTGATCAAACTTCTAGTCTAGTCAACAAATTGCTTGAAGAAAATAAACAAATAACCAATTATACAACTCTTTACTGATCTAGATTGACGAATACCACTAGAAAGAGATTGGCCAAGTGATCCTTGGGAAAGGGCTAAATTGCAGTTCCTTAATGTGGTAATATCAGTTTTTGGAGGAAAAAAAAATCAGATCTTCTCTGACACTTCTTGTGTAAGGAATGTTCTACAACTGATGGCGATTTAACCCCAGGCTCCATTGGATGAAAGTAATGTATGAATCTTTTATAATTTGAGTTTATGATGGGTTTTTGGATGCCCAAACAGCTTTGATCATTTTATCTTCACCATGTACCAGCAGTACATCTCTACTGATGTTGCCATGGGCATCTTCAGGACAAAGGCAAAGGAGGCACATTCTAATATTACAATGCAAATTCCATCTGTTATATAATTGCATGTGATGTCTGGCACAAGTACAAAAGGGCAAAGCTTGTACTGTGACATCACAATGCTTATTTTGCTATTTTTTGAGTCATCATGGTTAGGAGATGACATCAAGGGGAGCTGCAAATATTCTACTGAACATTTTAGCAACATCCAGGGCTGCTGAACACTGTGTTCTTTCAGGACATGTCATTCCATCAGGGACTTGAGGATACTGTCCTGGTTTTCACTTTCTGATTCCAGAGATACAGATTAGAGGAATATTACTTAGTTTTGTGGCCCTTATTGTCTCCATTTTCCAATGTATGCAGACCCAAGGAATGGTCTAAGTAATTTTGGATTAGGTTTCATCAGAATGATAAAGATGCTGAAGTTGTTGTTTTTAATTTCTTCATCAATTAGAGCCAATGAGTTTATGGATATCTTAAACTGTTTTCTAGGTTGAAGTGGTAGATTGGATGTTAAGGCTTAGTTAAGACAAGACAGAGGTATTGTAAGTCACAGACTGGTTTATTTGGGATTAGAAGTTCAAGTCTGTTATGAATCAGATTAAACTCCCTTCCGAAACATGTTTTCAGCTTCATTTCAGCTCAAGAATCAGGTAGTCTTATTTTTGTTTTATATTTTGTGCTAGTTTCCTTCAGATGGATTAAAAGGCCATCAAAGGAGAAAAGGGATGCCTAGGAAAGGAGATCATGAAAGTGAGTGGGAGGCGATATTAGATAGAGTTAGAGAATATTTAGGAATAATTCAGGGAAACAGAGAGAGTTATGTATGTTCTGAGGTATGATCTTAGTGGGCAGGTTGTACATTCAATATTTTGTGGTCAATGTAATATCTAATTTGGAGAACCTGATCTGGCTTTCTGTGTAAGGAATATTTTGTTGGAATGAAATAGTGTGGCTTCAAAACAATGCGTGTTTGTCTTCTAGCTTCATAGATTTGTCTTTCTAAGCAATCACCCCCCCCCCCCCGTGCTTTCCTTTTTTGCAGGAGTAAATCTGATGATTGTCTATCCCCTGTGTCTGATATTTTGTCATGATCGCCACCATTCTTTCAAAATCCCCAATATGCCCCCAATGATTGGAGGGTCATAAAGGTTACATGTGGCCTTGTTAATGGTACAAATAGCATCAGAGGTGATGAGAAATTACTAAAACTAAAATTACACAGTAATACATATATATTATTGAACATTTATAGCCAGTAAGAATTTTTTCTCTAGCTTTCTCTGCTCATGCACAAAACTGCAAATTTTATTCATCAAAAGCAAGGGAACTTGGTGAAGTTTCACTATAAACCTGGCTTTACTGAGAGAGAAAAGTAAATGAATCTAGCACCACACTGTATATCATCTTCTACACAAGTACAAAAACAATCCCAAACGTAGCTGTTTTCTGCAATGGGAGCATGTCATTTTCCACTCTGGGTATATATTATTTCAAATCCCAGTAATAAAGAATGAAAAAAAAGGCTTTATAATTGAAAAGCTACAAGAGCTTTAACTATAGTGGAGAGGATGGGATTTTCTGAAATACTGAATATGCTACCTTGTGGAAAGTCAATCATTGAGACAAACTTAATTACAACATTTTGTAGAGGAAAAGCGGGGGGGGGGAGGGCAGGCGGAGAAAAAGACGTGCCTTACCTGTTTGGCTGTTTCTATGATGGAGAGAGCTTCAGCCTTACCCACTTGTTGAACCATCTTGTAAAACAGGCTC